AAAAAAAAAAAAAATCTGAAGTCAGGGATATAAAACAGGAAGACTTCTTTAGTCAGTGAATGAATAAGGAGAATTTGTATTGAGTGTACACTATTAACTAGGACATATTTGTTCTCTGTCCCCTGCCCTCCGCCCCCTCTATGGGTAGCAAAGAAGTATTTAATTTTTTTTGCTTGAAGCAGGGCAAGGGCAGCAAGCCTGGAATCCTGGGAGGCTGAGGCAGGAGGATCACTAATTTGAGGCTAGCCTCAGCAAGGCTCTAAGCAACTCAGCAAGACCCCATCTTGCCGCAGTCCGGCTGCAGCAAAATAACCCGGGGGGGGGGGGGTGACGAACAACTTGTGTACGTTGATATAGCAGGAGTAGGAGCCGTTTATTGTAGGACAGGAGCGGTATTTATACATTCCACACAGCTTATCTAATTAACATAAACTAGATACAGCAGTCAACCCAATCAGGAATCTCCACACTTAATGGCTCGCTGGTGTTACTTCACAAACCACTCCCTCTGGCATTTTGCAAGGCGCCATACAGACTTGTTTACAGATTCTAACAGCTGAGGAAGATGGGAGGAAAAGGAATTCTTATTCAATGATGATGGATCAGGAAGGGTACAGCTGCTTTGGAAGACAGTTTGGCATCTTCTTGCAAAGTTGATACTCTTACAATTTATGCAGCAATTGTGCTTCTTAGTATTTATCCAAAGGAATTGAAAACTTAGATCCACACAAAAACATGCAAGGTGAGGTTTATAGTAGCTATGTTCATAACTGTCAAAATCAAAATATCCATCAATAAGTGAATTGATAAGTAAACAGTGATACACTCAGACTTTATATATTATCATTCAATACCAAAATACATAAATAAATAGCCATCAAATCATTAAAAGGCATGGAGAAAATTTAAATGCATATTGCTATGTGAAATAGTCATTCTCTAATGACTCTATAATGTACTACTCTGACTACAAGACATTTTGGAAAGGGCAAAACTGTGGAGATAGTACAAATATCTGAGGTTTCCAGTGTATTCAGGTAAGGAAGAGATAGGTGGAGCACAGATTTTTGGCCAGTTAAACTACCCTGTAAAAGTGGATACATGTCATTTACATTTGTAAAAACTCATACAATGTACAGTACCAGAAATGAACCTTATTTTAAACTTAAGAGTTAGTGACAAAGATGTGTTGATGTAGGTCCATAAATTGTAAGACATGTACAACTCTAATAGGGGATGTTGATAATGGAGAAGGTTGTGCACTTGCGGGGACAGGGGTATATAGAAAATCTCTTTGTCTTTTGATTTAATTTTTTGTGGGTCTAAAACTGCTCTTTAAAACAGTCTATTGATTTTTAAATGGAGGATTTACCTCTCATAACAAACTATGATAAAGCTATGGTAATCAATAAAATATGGTATTGCAGAATAAAAAAAATTGAACCCTTGAGCCAACATGTGGTTACCTGATTTAAGACAATGATGTCATTTCAGAAATAATGAGAATCATCTTCACAATCAATGGTTCAAAGACATTTGAATATTTACATGAAAAATGACCCTAACATTATTCACTTGAAGTAATTTAAAATTGATTATAGCTTTCAACATGCAAAATATAGTTATTAGTTTTTCAAAATGTATAACAATATCTTTATGCCTTGGAGTATGAAAAAGATTCAACTAGTATACACAAGCTGTTAACTATAAATAAAATATATTGATAAATCAGACCAAATTAAAGATTTCTTAATCAATGTCACCATAATAAATTTTAAATACAAGCATGGAACCCAACTTCTACGTGTAACCATTAAATTCTCAAAAATTATAAAAAATACAAGCATAGAGTGGGAAGACATATTTGCAATTCACGTATTTGAAAAAGATATTTCCAGAATATAGAATTTCCAGTATAATAAGGAAACAGGCAAACGTCCCAAATAGAAAAATATACAAAAGACTTTTATAAGCTCTTCATGATAATATAAACTAATGGCCAATAAACTTGTGAAAATGTGTATGATTTAATGAATTACCAGGGAAATGCTAATTAAAATCATAATATGCTATTACCACACACTGAGTAGAGTGGCTGAAACTGAAGAGACAACATCAAATGTTGACAAGGATATGAAGAAACTGGAACTCCCAAACTTTGCTGGCATTACTATAACTACTTTTAAAAAAATATTTCACAATATTTGAAGATCTAAATATATGTGCATGCATTAATGCACAACAATCCAAATCCTATGAACATATTCAACATACATAGTGATAGAACAAAAAAATCTCAAAACTGGAAAAATCCCAATTTTCAGTCACTGTAGAACGTATAAACTACATGGTATATTCATACATCTGAAAAATATAAACCAATGTGTACAAAACACATTAGAACAACATGACACAGATCAATTTCACTTAATATAATGTTAATTGAAGAACATCGACAAAATGCTAATACTGTATAGCTTTATTTGTATGAAAATTAAAAAAAAAAGCTGAGATAGCTATGATAATAGAAGTCAAGATAGTGCTTGCCTTTTAGGAGGGAAGATAAAAAACAAACAAAGAAGGGGAATTCTTGGGTTTTGGTAGACTTTCAATTTTTAATCTGGAAAATTCTTAAAATAGTATATACACTTTGTTAAAATTCACTGACTTGAGATTCACTGTATGTACATATGTATGTGTGGTCAGATTCATCCTATCCCTCCATTTTACTCTTGCCACTACTCTACTGATCTTTCCTCTGTTTTGATGGAATACCCCCAATGCCTCAACCATTTTGCCACTAGCTTTCACATATCAGAGAAAACATTTAAATTTTGACTTTTTTGAACCACTTTGGGATTGAATTAGAGAAATTATTTTGCATGCTTTTGAGATTGTCAAAGTGTATTCTAATGTTATGTCTAACTTTAGAAAATAATTATTAAATACACACACACACACACACACACACACACACAGAAATGGCATTAAATCTAAATTCCTGCCTTTAACAAACAGTATTTCACTGAGTTGTACAGTTATGCTTTGTGACTTTTTCTGGTGGAATGTTATATTTCAAAATTAAAGTAATTTTTTTAAAATCGAAATTTTGCCAATATACATTATTATTAATTTCATAAAAATAATAAATTATAAACACAAAGTTCCTCATGTACTCAAATGAAGATAAAAAAGATAAAGATAATATATCAGTTTACTTTGTTCTTAAAGGTATTCTTTTACTGAAAATTAACTCAGGTGATATTCATTTACAACTTCTAATAACTTGGAGATAAAATAAGGAACGCTTTTGTGGCTTAAAAGGGTATGGATACACACCAGATTTAAAATTTGGAATGAAATGGCAAATATTATGTGCAATAGTAAGAAAGGACACCTGGTGGCGCTGCAGGCTAAGAGTGTGAATAATGGGCTCTGGATGCCCAAGGACGCATTTGAGCTGGTAATCACTCTGAAAGCTCCCTACAACAATGAGGCGTTTTAGGTGAGCTCCAGGAGACAAATCTTCAGAAAGGTCTTCATTCCAAGCTCATAAAAACAGAAACATTTGACCAAATCGTCTGAGTGGATTGCATACAGAGTAAAAGGAACTTCACCTTCTGGACCCGTCTGAACAATGGAGGCAGAGCTAGATAAAACGCCACGGAAAAGGCAAGTCATTTTTCTTGCTATGCTGTTGTTTCTGTGGGAGGCTGACTCTGAGGCAATTAGATATTCCATGCCAGAAGAAACAGAAAGCGGCTACTCTGTGGCCAACCTGGAAAAAGATCTGGGGCTCAGGGTGGGAGAGCTGGCCACTCGGGGTGCGCGAATCCATCACAAAGGCAGCAAACAGCTCTTGCAGCTTGATGTAAAAACCGGCAATTTGCTTCTACAGGAAAAACTAGACCGGGAGGTGCTGTGTGGGGCTACAGAACCCTGCATATTGCATTTCAAACTGTTACTAGAAAACCCAGTGCAGTTGTTTAAAGTTGATGTGCAACTGACAGATATAAATGACCATTCTCCAGAGTTCCTAGACAGGGAAATGATCCTTAGAATCCCAGAGAGTGCACAGCAAGGGACGATGTTTCCTTTGAAATCAGCTCACGATTTTGATATAGGTAGCAACAGTGTTCAGAACTACACAATCAGCCCCAACTCCTATTTTCATGTTGCTACTCACAATCGCGGAGATGGCAGAAAATACCCAGAACTGGTGTTGGACACAGCCCTGGACCGGGAGGAAGAGTCTGAGCTCAGTTTAACCCTTACAGCGCTGGATGGTGGGGCTCCACCCAGGTCTGGGACCATCACAGTTCGCATTGAGGTGGTGGACATCAATGATAATGCCCCCGAATTTTTACAGTCTTTGTATAAGGTACAAGTTCCTGAGAACAGTCCCATAAACTCGTTAGTTCTCATTGTCTCTGCTAGAGATTTAGATGCAGGAACACACGGGAGTGTAGCCTATTCTTTATTTCAAGGTGATGAAGTTTTTCAACCATTTGTAATACATGAAAAATCAGGAGAAATTCGTCTCCAAAGGGCATTGGATTTTGAAGCAACCCAACATTATATTGTAGAAATTGCAGCCACAGATGGTGGAGGCCTTGTGGGAAAATGCACAGTGGCCATAGAAGTGGTGGATGTGAATGACAATGCTCCTGAACTAACCATGTCCACACTCAGCAGCTCTATCCCAGAAAACTCCC